TTATTTTGCTAGGGCATTAAATATTCCTGATGTTGACCTGAGGTTTCTAAAAAAAATTCATCTGAAGTCTCACCAATCTTTAATTAAAGTACTGCACTTGGGTAGTTCCCACAGAGATTTTTTTTGCCCTTCTCATTTCATTTGAATGGCATTCCTTGCAGGGAGGAAACCATATATTTTAGAAACAATGAAGCCACACCATACCTGTACAAAGGTCAGCATACATTAGACTTCGTTCAAAGAATTCAGCTTCTCTTTCTTGATGTGGATTTGTCCAAGATCTGCTGCGGTAGGCCAAACAACATCATGGAAAACGCTGCTTTCATAATGGACAGATCTCAAGAACACTGAAGATTGGCTCGTTACCGATTTAGGTTCCTTTGAGAATCGTGGCTCTAGTGCCCACATGTTTGTTGTTCGCGAGGGTGAAATACTCAAAAGTCGATTTTCCAAAGGGACTAAAGCAGGTAAACAACAGCTACAAAGAGGAGAGTATCTGGTGAGAAATGTTTTTGAGCGACACAAAAAGTACAAAGACTTCAATCGTACGTCTACTGTTATCACTAAGTGGAATGGACATGAGCTCCCCTTGGGTTTGATACAGTTTACCTTTGCTGCCGACGAACATCATATAAGCTGTCATAAGCACCCATGTTCCGGAAAGCAATTCATCCCTACAGCCCCATCCACCAAGGTGAAGATGTTCAAAGAGGCTACTGAACAGAAGGGTCCTTCAAGAATCTTTGATGAACTTTCAGAAGCGGCAGGGGGTATACTTCACTGTGAGCAATCCGCCGACTTGCCAAGAGATAGTAAGCAAGTCATCAATGTCCGGCATCGAGCTCAAAACAAAGCTAGCAGAAAAGAATTTGCCACTTTACTGGATCTGGCAAAAGATCACAAAGATGTGCACAATCTCCAATGGATGCCGTTGCCTAGAGTGGTCTACTTCATGGATGAGCAGCTTGATGACAACCTACAAGAGTGCTGTCGTCCCAAATCTATGTCTATCTTATCAATTGACACAACATTTAATGTCGGAGACTTTTACATGACCACAACGACGTACCAAAGCGAAAAGGTTGTAAGCAAGAAAACTGGTAAAGCTGCCAACTTGCCTGGTCCTGAGATGTTTCATACAACCAAAACTCAGAGGGATTACCTTTACTTCACCCACACCCTTTTGGAAAGTAATTACAATCTTGAAAAAGTTGCTTTTTTGGGTGGGGACAGGGACAAGGCTCAATCCTTCCTTCTCAAACCATCAAAGGGCTGCACTTTTATCCCATGTACAAAACATGTCCAGGATGATATAATGCGAAAGATAGGAGAACTTGGCTTGAGTTCAGCCAAATCTGAAATACTTCAAGATACTTTCAGGGATGAGCGAAGGAAAGAAAAAGGAATTATCAACAGCGGAACTGCTTATGAGTTCATGGCGAAAGTGGAAAGTGTTTCCAACAAGTGGGACAAGATGGAAGAAGACATTACTGGTAAGAGTCCCCAATATGTGCGCTATTTTCAACGGAACATACAAGACAACATGAAGAATGGCATGTTGTTACCAGTACGTAGACAAGCTGGGCTAAATGATGAATTCTTTTACAGCAATGCTCAAGAAAGCAGCAATTTTGTGTATAAAAGCAAGATTCTGGAAAAGAAAGTAGTAGAGGGAACTGGGTATAGACCAGACCCAAAGTGCACATGGGCTGAAGCAATCTCTGTCTACAGGGCCTTGGTGGAGCAAAGTAGGAGAGATATTCAGCACGCAGTTCTAGGAAAAGGTCCTTACAATCTTTCACTGTTGCATCAACATCTAGCTGTTTCTGCAACCAGTTGGTCCGGAAAGACCAGGAAAGAAAGGGAGCTTCACCTTGCCAAGCTTGGAACATCCATTGCAGTGGAAACAGAAGAAGAAAATAGAGAAGAACCCATGGAAAAGCAAGACGTTATCAGCAGCTTCGTAGATTCAGGTTTACCTGAATTACTTAAAGGTAGCTGGACGAACACCAACAGCATCATCCAATTGGATGGAATTGGTTCGTTTCCTAATGAAAACACCCGAAGGGTAGTGATATCCTTAACCAGACCAATTTCCCATACAGTCCAAATAACGGAAAAGAAATTGGCTTGTCTTGAATGCCCGCAGTATGACAAGTGTGGAATTTGCGCCCACACTCTAGCAGTAGCACACCACCTTGGCATGCTTTCGGATTATGTCAAGTCCTACCAAGTGCCATTAGCCAGGATAGTTGGTGCGATGATCCCCAGCGGTGCTGGAAAGGATAACAAACGGAAGAACATCCACAAGCAAACAGTAAAACCTAGCCGGCATGTGTCACAATACTGAAACCAAATTGACGTAGAAAGCTCTGATGAGTGCGAGAGTACACCCTACGAGGTAGTTTTTGTTACTGCCACAATACCATGTGCTATGGATGTAAGGGACGCATCCGTGACAAGCCATCTGATCCACCTCCACCTGTCCCTTGTGATATGTTGTTGCATCATCTAGAGCGTCATGTGTACCATCGTCGAAAGGAAACAAATATATGCATCACGAAACAACCAGAGCATGTATACTACGGTAACCATACCCTCCGTACATGTACCCCTACAGCAGCGAGGGACAACATCTTGATAGCAGAAGTGATTCACTGCAAATTGGCAAATTCCAACAAACAGCTCCTATGGTGCAAATATGGAGTTCAACTGTAAGGGAGAATGTTGCAACCTTCTCCTCGCAGAACTAAGATTGCAGTACTAGTAAGGCTCTGTCTCATGGTTTGACAATCAAAGAACAATGAAACAAGAATTAAGTGATAGTTTATGGTTCTCATTGTCAAACACTAGCTTTACCAAATCAACCATTTCGCTGTTTTTGATTACCAAATCTTCGACAATTGTATTGTTGTATTGTTTGTATGGAGTTCAATTGTAAGGAAGAATATTGTAACCTCCGGGCAGAACTAAGACTGCAGCACTAGTAAGGCTCTATCACATAGTTTTGCATAGTTTTCGGTTACTAGTTTTACCAAATCAACTGTTTCGCTGTTTTTGATTACCAAATCATTTTCATTGCAGGTGTGTACCAAGAAGGATACTTCTTTAAAGTTGTAGAAGTTACTTATTCCCCTTGTAGCACCGTGATTTGTATATTTCATAATTATGTTAAATGTTACTGTCTCAGGGACACTTGTGATATATTGCAATTTATAATGTTTTAATTTACAGTGTTTTATAATGAAGTCACAATAATTAACGAATAACTCTCGGTGTTCGTTATCAGGAGCCAATTTTCCTCAATCAACTGTTACAGTTACAAAAACGTTTTTGCTGTTTAAGGTCACCTGCTACCTGTCACCCGCTGCCCGCCACCCGCTACCCTTAACCCATCACCCGTGGAAAAGACCTGCCATATTAGGGCTGGTGTACCGAAAACAACAAAAACATTTTTGGCAACAAGTCTTTTCGAGCTATACAGGAGCTCGATGAACTTTACTAATTTTCAACGATCAAAGTGCATGTGACTTTAGGCATACTTGTGGTTACTCCATTTCTCCCTCAAAATCAATATTTGAGGCAGTGCTTACTTTCAAAACTAGCACGGTTGTTTTGTTAAGATGAGGAAGTCCATAAATTCATCCAAACTTACCCCAAATATAGTAATTACGAAGGTACAAATGAACATCTTCTGTGTGACATTACGTTTAACTGTACGTGTCTCATGCGGGCTAAAACATCCAACTGACAAAATTCCATTGAGTTAGTCTTGACCGCTGTCTTATGCTGTAAAAAACTAAATTGCTGTCACTTACAGACTAAGAAACACTCATTCAAAATATATCATAATGAAGAGAACTTCATGTCTTACCATAGCTTGAGAACATCTCCACGAGAACAGGTTGATTTACGCAGTATTGTGTCACGCTTCATTACATTGAGAATTGATGTTACAGATCCATTTTTGACTACAGCGCACCAAAGTTAATGGAGGGGATAACTATGAGCGCACGCAGTTATTTTAAAGTTGTCGAAAGAAATCGTTAGTGTCAGGAGTGATACTTCTTCCTTTTATTTCAATTTACACTAAATTTTGCCTTATCATGTAACAGAATATGTAGTTTTATGGAAAACATATCAGCAATGCCGATTTCAGGCAGAAAGCTCGTCAGAATGTCATTGTTTTTAGGTGATACAGTTGGTACAGTACACGTATTATTCATTTTTATTGTCGTCTTTTGAATTTGAATATCACCTCCAAGTTTTATCTTTTTTCATTATTTCCTCATTTTTTTGTTTTGTTTTGTTTGCGTGTGCGTGTCTGTTTTCCCTTATTGTTTTTAATTAATAATACGACTTATTTGAAATAATTGAATTTGCAAATGTTTGACCCAATAGACGTCCAAAATATTTACTTTGCAACAGGGATGGGCTTTTTATCAAGATTCGCATTGTTTGCCTCCAAGAATGGCAGAATTGTGTTCGTTTTCAAGCGTTACAGGTGGAAAATGTGGAAGTAGCCAAGGGCGTATAGATTGTGTAGCTTTATATGAATAGCTGTAACACTGATATCAGCGTGCATTTACACTCCCAATCCTTATACTCTATTACAACCAAGTATGAAAAGGCCATTTAAATTTTAAGAGACAAATTAATGGTGAATCACCGGCGGTGATTATTGAAACTAATAGGGAAAACTAAATTCATTAATCTTTTATATAATTAGTGGCCACTGATTTTGTACTTTAATTTGTTTACTTTACTTTTTACTATTTTACAGTATCACGTAAAAACATGGGCATTCAATGTGCTCAGTTGCTGCCTAAAATTGTCGTCATCATAATTATGTCTTCAAAAAAATTACTTTTTGGTTCATAAAATAATTGCCGGTATAAATTAGAGTGAAAATATGAAAAGTTTCAATCTTGACACAAACCATTTCTGTGCGATATTGTTAAAGATGGATTACTGACATTTTCAATGTAAGAGCATGACACATGACTGAATCAACCCATTCTCATGGAGATGTTGTCAAGCTCTGGTAAGACAAAAAGTTCTCTTCATTATGACATATTTTGAATGAGCGTTTCTTAGTCCATAAGTGACAGCAATTTTAGTTTTTTACAGCATAAGACAGCGGTCAAGACTAACTCAATGGAATTTTGTCAACACGTTTTAGCCCGCATGAGACAGTTAAACGGGGTGTTACAAAAACGAAGAACCTCGAAAATGAAGACCTAAGACCCGGTCTTCGTTTTCGTAGTGACGGGGTCTTGGGTCTTAGGTCTTCATTTTCGAGGGACTTCGTTTTCGTAACACCCCAGTTAAACGTAGTGTCACACAGAAGATGTTCATTCGTACCTTCGTAATTGCTAAATTTGGGGCGATTTTGGATGAATTATGGACATCCTCACCTTAACAAAACAACCGTGCTAGTTTTGAAAATAGGCACTACCTCAAATATCGCGGATTTTGAGCGAGAAATGGAGTAACCACAAGTATGCATAAATTAAGTCATATGCACTTTGATCGTTGAAAATTAGTAAAGTTCATCGAGCTCCTGTAGCTCGAAAAGACTTGTTTCCAAAAATGTTTTTGTTGTTTTTGGTACACCAGACCTAATACTAAACACAGATAGTGATTAAGACTCCAGATTCTGTTATACTTTTGAGAAAAGCGTCTTGGAACAACAGCTCAAATTTGAAAAGTGCTGTTTGAGTGGTATTTTCAAAATAGCGTAATTCTTAACTGTTTGGTCAAAATTTACTTATTTTGCTATTAATCGACAGAGGAGATGTAAAATAATACCACATGTCCGATTTATGCTATTTGAACAAATGCATAATTTTTTTAGAGACTCTAGCAAATCGCTGAAAGTTGATGCTGAAATAAACAATTTCTTTGTTTTTGACAGTCCTCACATCTCGTTGCCAAAATTTGATAAGATAGCATTACGAACCAAATAAATACAATTTTTGCCAATAGAATAGATCAGATTTCTAATAGTAAAAATTTGAAGGAATTTTGTGATCGACCGAAATTCGAGTGGTCGGTTCTTACGAGGACAGCCTCTTAAAAGGCATTACTGTCTACAAAATATACAAAGGCAGAAAGCCCATATTAGAGCTAAACCACAACACTGTTGACTGAGAAAATAGTATCTTTCTTTGAATGACACAAGTTGAAGGCTACGTGCATGACAGGATATTTTGTTGGAAAAAAAAGGGTGTTGTCATAAATACTTCAGAGGTAAAAGAAAACCAAAGTACATGTCTGTCATATTCCATTACCAGAAAAACCAACTTATCCTACATGCAGCTTTTACACAACTTTACTGATGTTTCTTAAATTGTCTAGCATATGGCAGCTATCTTAAGGGATTTATATTATTTTATTGTTTTAGCTGTTCAAGGCCTCTATTTCATTTTATGATAAGTTAATTAAGAGTGTTTTTATAAGTTAGAACATGCACATTAGTGAGGTGATAGTCAAAAATGTAAAAGCTAAATGTTTTGTTCATTTATTTTATTAGTTCTTTTCTTTTTCATTTATAACCACATAAAGAACACTACTTACATTAACTACATTACAGATTCTTATGCAGAATTCTCTACAATACTTACAAAAATTACTGATACTTATGTATGGAACTTACTTACTTATAGTACCCTTACAATACAACAAATATTTATGCTGCTTACTATAATTATTCAACTTACACTACTTACAAAGTGATACTGCAAACAACACACATGTAGAGCAACATCATTTGCAAGTTTTGCTACTTATAATTTACAAGTCAAGAAGTTTGGTCATCTGCCAAAAATCAAATTAGATTGATCTAGTGATGTAAGGCAGCACCAAGGTGATTAATTTTGCATTCAATCTACTTATTCTATTATCTCCTTTGTAATATGGTTTGCAATGTTTAATTTCACCACTTAAAGATTTTGAATCAGCTAAGATTATAGTTTGTTGAAAGCAAATTGTATGCATCATCATTTCATTCGTCACTAAATTTCATAATTTTTTTGTTTCTTTTATAATAATTATGACTTTTGAAGCACACAATTTGTATTTGTTTTATCAAGCTACTTTAATTTCTCTATTAAGTCTGTAATTTATTCACACCTTTTTATTTTAGTGAATTGTTCATTCATGGTGTACTTTGGATCGAACAAAAAAAAAACTCATTAACTCTGGGAACCATGTTGCATACTTGAGTCAATGGAGTAATCCTTAGTATATTACCAAATGCTTTTCCATACACTGCTTACCTTCCCTTGTCCCAGGCTTAGGCATGCCTCCAATGCCTCCCGGCTTGGGTGCAGAGCTACCCTCTGAATTATGGTAAAATCAAAATGATATGTATTGTCATCATTGCCAAACAATCCTTGAAATGAGCATTTTTCTTTGAAACCTCAAGCACCAGAATAACGGGGTTAGGGTTTTGAAGTCTCATACCCAGACCTCCCTTAACCAAACTGGCATAATTTAAATTTTGCTACAGATTGACTAAATTTCAATTATTTGCACAATATATAGTTTTCAATAGAGCTCCAAAAGGTCTACCTCAATCACGATGGAACAGAAGGAGTAACAACTTCTTACAGACCTGTGCACCAACCCACAAATTGGAAATTGTACCTTTTGGGATGCTTAGTCAGTCATTTTGCCATTCCCACACAGATTAATGATCACCTTGACCCATCATGGAAAGAAAAAAGGTTTGCAGACAGACAAATTAAAAGAATTTAGAAAGCTTTTTTGTCTCTGCATCTCATGCAAATATGTTGTGCAAAACAACATGCCCCTTGAGTGACCTTGTACAGGCTCAGCCAATCTCACATTCATTCCAACACCTAGTGTGGGACATGAGTGTGGGATAGACAAAATAAATTCTGTCCTACGCTCTTGGCAAGACAAAAAACATTCTTCTCTTTTTCTTTACAAATAAAGCTCAAAATTTACCATCTTTTTTATTCTATTTACAAACATGACACTATCCAGATTGCCAATCCGAGCAGCAAGTATGCAGGATGCATGTCTCATATTATGAACTTTGTAATGGGCTAGGACAAAAACACGGACCCCCTACTGACCCCTTTATAACACAACTGCATGTTGACAGAATTACTTTCAGTACATTCTGATGACAGGAAGAAACAATGGGTGTTTCAGGGTTTTCCCCTCTTAAATTCACTGGAAATCGTGAATTGAAGCTAACAATAACAACCTAACGATACAAAATTATGATATAATAATACACTTACCTCTTAAATTTCAAAATGGCGGAAGATGGTTGATCTGATTAATGCCTATAGTCTGCCATCGTCCAAACTCATTTTACCACAATTGTTAGTTCTTCTACACTCATAAACGAGTGGCAAATGTGTCAAAACATTTTGTACTGCGTTGTATACGTTTCCACCGAAAAGGATTGTTTTTGTTCGACCAAAGTGTGAGAAACCGGAAGTTTGAACTGTTTTAGTAATGCCAGGTCACGCTCTAGTTCCCAATACCAATTGTCTTTAACCTCATCCCCTGGGTATTCTCGTTTTCCAATATGCCAATGGCTTTTCCAATAGAGGTTTCATTTCTTTTTGTTTCTTCTTCTTTTTGGTGGAGCGCAGTTCCCATTTGCCACTCGTTTATGAGCATAGGAGAACTAACAATTGTGGTAAACGAGTTTGAACTATGGCAGACTCGTGGTATTTGAAAAATAAGCAGATTGACCATCTTCCGCCATTTTATAATTTAAGAGGTGACTGTATTATTATATCGTAATTTTATATCGTTATGTTGTCATCGTTAGCTTCAATTCATGATTTCCAGTGAATTTAAGAGGGGGTCAGTGTCTTGTCCTAGCCCAGTGTCTTGTCCTAGCCCAGTGCTCAGTTCATTGAAGAAAGAGAAGAGGGATAAATTCCTACCACATGTCATTTTGCTTGGGATCACCAGGTGATCAGCTCAAGCTAGTGGATAGTTTCACCCTTGGGTTCTGACAAAACTCTGCTCTTTAGTTGGTTAGTGATCATTCCTTTTTCCTTAATTATCTCAATGCAAGAGCAGATAAGATTTTTATCAAATAGCTAATGAGAAATGACTTTCTAGCAAATTTTGCCAAGGGAACGCAGCAAAATGTTATTTTCTTTACCTGGTTTTATTTGTTGTTTATTCGCCAGTTTGAATTTCCGCCATTTTGTTTTGGAGTATTGTTTATCTCTGTCGCTTTGTATCCCAGGCAAGCACCGAAGGCACGAGAGTTTTCAGGACGAGTCCCCGAGTGGCGAGAAGTAACTGTTATTTCTCTCCCCTCTGGGGTTAAATATTAAAGTAACGCAACTTGTCACAGGGCTCATCCGGAAAACTCTTGCACCTTCAGCACTCGCCTGCAATACAAAGCATTAGTGGTAAACAATACTCAAAAACAAAATGGCAGAAAATCAAACTGGCAAATAAACAATGAATAAAACCAGGTAAAAAAATAACATTTTGCTGTATTCCCTTGCTGTGGGCTGGAGGTTCCCTTTTTTTGATTAATTTTTTAAGAACATTTTCAAAAATATTAGGCAAGCAACCAAATAGGGACAAATATGGACATCTAAAAAGGCATTTTAGCCAAGGGATAGGACCTTTAGATTTAGTTATTAATTTAAAATATCTCATCATGTTTTGCTCGCAAGATATGATAGGATTGAAATTTTAAACCTATGGATGATGCACACTCATACACTTTTCACCTACAGCTGGAAGATTAGGGAATTAATCAAATTCCAAGTCCTTAAAGGGTAAATATTACCAGTGTTTCTCAACACCTCTCACAACTCACATACTTACGTCATTTTGAACTGATGGTAACTGCAAAGTAGTGAGTTCAAGTCTGAACAGTAAATTTCTGTGGGAAAAAAGAAGAGAATTTTCATAATTAAAGCAATAAAGGACTACTTCCAAATTTATCTACAAGTAGCCATATCTAAAGATGAGGCAAGTTCTCCCAACCTGCCAAGTGTTTGGACGGGGTTTATTAATTTTTAAAATATTTGTCATTAAATTTAATTGACAAGTTAAGATACAAACACCAATGAAAGTATGCCTACTACAGTATCCTAAATATTTGCCTTTTAGGCTTTCTTTGAGCAAAAAAAGAAATTGTTTGAGCAACTTCACCATTATCAATTACATTGTACTTTCATCTGAATTAACTGTAAATGAGTATAAAGTGTGAAGCAAACCTCCCTTTTATTGTGCATAGGAAATGCCTAAGTATCAGAGTAGATTCCTGCCTTGGTGCATATTCTTCCCACTGTTAGAGTTACACAAAGTAAGGCAAGAAAGGTGCAAGTAAAGGAAAGCTTGGCTTAATTGGCTATCACAAGAAGTTCTGATTAAACTTAATGTTTTTACATTACAGAGTATATGTACTTTGCATGAATAAGCCTTGTTAAATGAAAATAATTGTTTTGATGAATGTTCAGAACAGATAAATTTCTGTTCACTTACTTGGCACCAACAATCAATTGGTTATTCCTTTCATCAATTAGTATTTCCTCTATATTTGTTCCATTTGAATGAAATTTGACACACCCTAAAGAAAACAGCACAGTATAATTCAACCCTCCCCTTGTTGCAAAAACAGGCACACATTCATCCTTCCATATTTATCACTTTAATAGTGACACTATATCTCAAGTGTACAAGCACACCAGTATAATGCTGCACCTAATTAAAAAAAGTGCTTCTACTGTGTTTCTAAAAAGCAAATGTCAATGGTTTACAAGTGCCACAAACAGTAACTACAGCATGATATATTTTTAACAAATAATTTAAGGTGGCTCGTACCGGTTTTCATCTTTTTGATGGTTTGTAACTTTGAAAGAATACAACAGAAAGACTGACCAAGGCCAGTTGAACACTTTTACGGGGTTGAATTACTTAATCATTGGTTATCCAAAAGTAAGTGTCATTTTGTCACTAGCAGTTTCCATCGCAATGCTTTCATAGGCTTATTCAGAGGCATTTTTTAGCTTGTGGCTTAAATAATTCGAAAACTAACCCAGTGACCCCCTGATTTTTTTCAGTGATTGCTTTTGGCACTTGAAAAGGAAAATGAACAAAGATTTTTAAAAAATTCTATGGAGCAGAATTTCAGAAAATCTACAAAAAGGGCAATTTTCACACATCACAAATTTCCTTCCGTAGAATTTTCTAGTTTTTTTTCTGATGATTCCTTTCGACGTTATTATCATATTGGAACAATAAAAAGAAGGGGTCACCGGACTTGTTTTCATGCAATAGCTTTCGTGAGTTTAGCAATTTCCACACGCATTCTCGCGCATTTAAAAATCTGGATTCTATAAGATTGACATTTGCTCATGATCTGTTTTAGCTACCGCTGACAATTGCATGTGCTCGCGCAAGCACCTACGATCTGATGTTTATAGAAGTTTACTGCTAAGAAAATCAGTAAACAGCCGTCAAAGACAACCTCCTGAGCTCATCTTAAAAATCCTACACATGACTTCTGGCTATATCATTTATTTTCCTTCAAGTTTCAAAGTCTTCGTCCACTTCAGGTAGATTATCCTTCACTTGAGTTCTTCATTTTTTGCCATCGCAAGATTTCGTATCGGTTGAATATTTCTTTTAAATGTGAAGTGAAGCAACCTTTACTTCTCCGAAAATTGTCTTCGTTATCTTAGTTTCTATCTCCTGCATTCACAGTGGCCGCTCAACACATCAAATACAAGCTCTTAGGTAAACTTCTTACAAAAGTAGAAAAAATTCCACGCGCCGCCTTCTTTGTTTTGAATTTTCATCTTTTGATCTTGCGCTTCTTTTGCACATTTCTCTCACGAGCGTCATGCAAGAGTGACCTGTTCCCGCGCGAGGAAACTGGTACGAGCCACCTTAATAAAATTAATGCCTTTTAAAGAGTTGGTAAGAACCATTTTTATCAGTTGACTGAAATGAATGGTGAATGTTATTGGGTAGGGAGGCTATGAGAGCTTTTATAACTGTTCATTCTAGTGATTACAACAAGATTAAGTACATTTCATTGAATGAACTTTTGCTGCAGTCATTTTTCCCTATCACTTAGCCTCTGTAATTAAAGAGCTGACCTTAGTAATAGTGTAACAGTTAAACTGCCTTCAACTGACAGTAAATTCTGGTTACTGTATTTTTGTTTACTGTTTAATACCAACTGTATGCATTTGCTCTCAAGGGGCAATATTTGGTGTCTGTTAAAGAGGGATTAAGCACAACAGACTGAGGCATTCTTTATATTTAAAAGGTAAAAATTCAATAGACCACAAAAAACTGCCCACGATAATGAGAAGTCCATCATAGGTAAGGTGGCTGACATGTGCATGGATAAGTTTGAAGGACATATGAGAGCCTTTGTGCCTCACAAACCCAAGATATATAAGAAATTTATAACTGACACTTTAACCAGCTCATTTCAAGACAATTTGGGTATATCAACAAAGTTGAAATGGTAAATTGGCCACCGTAATGATTGCAAAAGCTGATGTTTCGAGCATTAGCCCTTCATCGGAGCGAATAGAGGAATTGTGGGTTGTGTGTGCTTTTAAAGACAGAAAATGGAGCTACGTTATTGGTGGGAAGAAAAACACGAATAAATCAATGGAATGAAAAGCGTTCGTTGATCCCTGTGTGATTTAGACTACTGGTTTGAAAGATGAGCTTTTGTTCAAGAGTTTTACCTCTTTTCGTGCAACCTAAGTGTAAGGAAAGACCGCAGATTGCCATATGTTGATTAGAATGGTTAGGTAAATTAGCGACTAGTTTCGATGTGTCCTTGTCATTCTTTTCCACATCGCAAAGGTGTTCTCTGAATCAGTCACCTAGTCTTCTGCCTGTTTTGCCGATGTATACCTTTTTGCAATAAGTGCAAGTTATGCAATAGATAACATTGGCGGAGGTGCACCTGAAGTGATCGGTGATCTTAATGGATCGTTTGGGTCCCTATATTTTATGTGTTGTGAATGAAAGGACACGCTTTGAATCATGCACGAGTGCATTTAAAAGTGCCTGGTTGGTCATCAGTCTGAAAAGAACTTCTGACCAAAAATTTGCCTATGTTTTTGTCCCATTTGAATGAAATGAGTGGAGGCTGCAAAAAGATAATGCTTGTCTCTGGATTTTTTTGAAGTAATTTAAAGTGGTTCTGAGGGTGAAACGTGAGAGTGAATGGAATGCGGTCGGAATCTTCCTTTTGTGACATTTGTAGTGCTGAATGTCGATCAATAAGTTGGGTGTGGTGGTAACCCGCTTGAACAACAGAAACAGGGTAACCACGTTTATCAAAAAACTGGCACGTTGACTCTGATTTGTGGTGGAAATCAGAGTCATCACTACATAAATGACGAAGTCTTAGAAACTGAGGAAAAGGAATGGAATTCTTAACAAGAAATGGATGCAAAGACGAATATAACAAGTAATTATGCGAGTCTGTAGGTTTGTAATACACACTAGTGCATAGACTGTTGCCGTCAATTGAAACTTTGATGTACATCAAAGTTTCAATTGACGGCAACAGTCTATGCACTAGTGTGTATTACAAACCTACAGACTCGCATAATTACTTGTTATATTCGTCTTTGCATCCATTTCTTGTTCTAAAAAAGGATGAAGGAATTGTCAGAAATTTCCCAGGTATATTTCAGAGCCAGGTGAAAAGAATTGACTGTGGTTATGAATTGAGTCAGCTCCTCTCTGGTAGAGGAGGTAGCGCTGATACAGTCGTTGATGTAGCGACCGTAGAGTTCAGGTTTGGAGCCATTGTATTGGCTGTAAAATTGGTGTTCGACAAAACCTACAAAAAGATTGGCATAGCTAGGTCCCATTTTGGTGCCCATGGCTACACCATTGGTTTGTTTGAAGAAGTTGTCCCCAAATGAAAAACAATTGAGTGTGAGCACTAGTTCAGCTAAGTGTAGTAGTGTTTCAGATTTAGGTTCCTTAACAGTACGTTGATCAAAAAAATGTTTAAGGGCCAGACCACCTTCGCCATTAGGAATGACAGTGTGAAGAGAC